TTGGCCTGTTTTTCCGGGTGGATCTCCAAATATTCAAAGAACGTTTTCACAGCCCGTTCCCAATCCAAGTAGTCTTTTATATGCAAATGTCCGTCGAAATAGGGGATATCCAGCTTCACTTTAAATTCTCCATGTTCCCTCCTGGGTTGTCGATACCTCCGTCGATGCTGAGCGGGTAGCTGCTGTCGCAGATCCTCTTCTGAATCCGATTGATCCGGATTAATCTGGTACTGAAGCTCGTCTTCGGAACTCGGAGAAGTCGGTGATATTGACGGGCCGACACCGCCGATTGTTCTCCGTCAGCTGCCCGAACGGCGGTGCCGGAGTCGGAACACCGCCTCTGCCTGCAGGGATCAATAACGCCCGGAATGCAGCCATTTCGGTCCTCATCTCTGTAGAGAGGCGAAATAAGTCTGCCCTCATTTCCTCCAGTTGCCATGTGAAGCCTGCTTGAGCTGCCCACACAGCATCCAAGTTCCTTTCCTCCTCAACAACTCTGTTAGAGTTGCCTTCTGCCATTCCCAGATGGCTCTGATACCAATGTGAAGCAGTGTTTCAACACCTAAGAGAAACCTGCTCAATGAAACAGTAACACAAGCAAAGAAATTGCTAAACAGTGAAAACTATATTTCGTTCTGTCTTCATCCTCTCCTAAAATAGCATTATAACCTTACTCAGCTAAGGCAGTAAATTGCTAAAAGAAACTAAAGCAAATAAAAAGGTACTAGAGTATTATGCTTAACAGAAAAAGTAAGAAACGGTTAGCTGAGGGATAGAGGGCACATGAGCAAAAAGTATAAAGGGTTGCCAGCTCAGCTTAATGGACCGCATCAACGTGTCTCTACGCTTGAACTCCACACCTAATAATTTCTCTTTCTTTTGAGGTGGATTCGTTTAGTTAATTTCTTTAAGTTTAAAGTAGGATGCCACTTGTGAGATAAGGTTGAATGTAAGCATCTCGATGCTTTACTTTACTCTTTTTGGTAACTATAGGCATTTATGTTCTTTATTTTTTTTAATTATTTTATTTGTAATGATTGTTATTGTCATTATGACTTTAATTAAGATCAATTTGTAGCTTAACTTTTTTTTTTTTAGTACTTTATGTTCAACTTTACCTTATCATTTTTTATAACATCCTTTTTTGTTGTTGCTTTTTATATCATCTAACATAGTTCTCATAGCATGATTACGATTTAATTAAAAGAGGATATGCTATTATTATATACTACTTATGAAAAAATTTTGATGTTAACAATTTGGATTTGTTGGAGGAACGTGCATATCCGGGCGTAATATGGATTATATCATAAATGAAAAACATAAAATATAAGCATTGCAGAATGAAAATGATAGAAAAGAGTTTACGGCTTTCTTTGGGACGATTTTTTCATTGCTTTAAAAAAAATTAATAAAATATTTATACTAAAAAGCTATTTTAATAATCAATAGGAAAGTCATCTTGATAAGAAACACTTGTAGATCTTCTGAAAAACAGCGAGAAAAGTGGCTGGACTCATGGACTGCTGTCCACAGCAAGAAAACACAGCAAAACTGTTGTTTACAGCTGTTTAACAGCAGTATTTCATAGGAAATTTGAAAGAAAACTCAAAGCAAGATTTGTATTCCACTAGACGATGAATAAAATAGCAAGATACAATTGATCCTCAATTCGAGAGGAGGATCGATCTCTCCCAAATCTCTAGACGCCGCTAGAGCCCAAAGAAAACCTAAATCTAAGAGATCTCAAATTTCAACCAAATTCAAGATACCCAAACCCTAGAAAAATAAACTATTTAATGCATACAAATCAAAAGGAATTCCCTAAACAGTCCCTACAATCAATTTCCCTCCTAAACTTTCTCAAAATTCCTTCCTAAAACAGTCCCGCAAGCCGAGCGGCTTGCGCGGCCTCCGCCCAGGCGGAAACTTCCGGCGTTTCGTGTCTGGTCCGGTCTCGCGTGGACTGGCTGGACCGGTCCACTGGACCGGTCTAACACATCCCAAATGAAGCTTAGAAGAGTTGATAAGATCCACAAAGCAATCACTTGAAAATATGCATTTTTAGTAGTAAAATCTGCCACATGAGCTAAAGCCACTAGAAACTATATAATTTTAGAGAATTTCTAGTGAAATTTATTGCCGGAAAAAAGTCATAATAAATACTTTTCAACAACCAATTAAAAGTGACGTTTTGATAGATTTTATTTTTCCAAAAAAAAAAAAACGTTTTGATAGATTTTCAATAGATTTGACTATTGATATTTATCTTTGGTTTGACGATTTACATAGTTGTAAAATTTACCAACGAAAATTTTGTTTGCAAATTTTTTTTTTTTTTTATGGATATACTAATGGCTTTCTATGGCAAACTGACGATCTAAAATTTCCAATATATTTTTCTCAAGAATGTCTTCGCTAAATTTATTTTATGAAAATTTTATCAGTCTCTAAATCTCTCAACGAAAATTCCATTAAAAATTTGGAGATTTTTTCTACAACAATACTTTGCTAGTGAGACAATCATCTACATATCATTCTTCAAACATAATATTACTTTCCACATAAAAAATAATACATTAACATATTTGCATATATAGTGCACAAAAAATGAAATGCATCAACTCACATAAGGGAAATAATAATATTATTATAAATTATTTCAATATTTTGCTTTACCCTTATCTCACTTAGTCATTTGCTCATTTTCTTCTGCGCCATTTCTCTTTTCTCTTGATTTTTTGTTGTTGTTTTATCACACTATTTATTCTTGATTAAAATGAATATCAATGTGTACTTTTATAACCACATTCATAAGAGCTCATATATCTTCGATCACAGTATTAAAATAGTTCAACATCATCGACTGCATCTCCTACCCTAAACAAGTAAGATATGTATATAAAGTATAAGTATGATACCTATATCTAGAGTGTCTAATTTATAAATTATACAATGTTCTTTTCATCTAGCAACATTTGTTTATAATATATAATTAATTATTTTTAGGATGATTTGCTCAAACATCCATCTCACTTGTCTAATTTTTCTATGTATAACAAAGAAAAGCCTCCACCAAACAGTCACCTGCTTCTCCTCCACATGTTTGCTCGAACTCATGTTTGCGGCTTGCTCCTTTCAATCCTGTGAGCATTTCACATTTGCTGCAGCTTTGCATCCGATCCAAGTCCCACACCTCCCTGCATCTAATCCACAACACACACGACCCAATCTACATAATCTGCTAAGGAATATCGTGTGCCCGTCTCCGCGCGGCTACCTCCCACACAATCAGCCCACTTCACCACACTACGTATGGCTCGAACCTGAAGCCACATGTGCCCACGATCCCAGGCTCTGCACTCATGCGGCTAGCTCCACGCCTGTTGTTCGAGCGACCAGATTCTAGTGCAACCACCGTGCCTAGTGCAACACATGCTTCCCTCACGATAGACCTCGTGAGCCCCGACCTAACTCTGCTAATGTGTACAACAAGACACTACCTTCATGTCCAATGTTTGTATCCAAGTGTGATACCTGCACAACCTGCCCATACAGCTTCTGCCTACACAATTGGTCCAACTACGGATCTGCGCAACCGCCTCTATTCAAGCCCGCGATCGAATCGTGACACCTCACGATCGCACCTTGTACGCTCCTCTCCAAAATCAAGTGGGTTCCTTGTAACTTGTAAGCGGGCCCCGAGCCTTTCGGGTGTCCACTCGTGCCTTGCTCACGTCCGGACAGCTAAATCTTTCTTGTGAAACCACACTCTACTTCTCAACCAGAGCCTCCTATGACACGGCCAGTTGCAAAACCCACACAAGCTTAATACAGGCACACGATTCTCGCAACCTCCTCCCACTATTTCTTGACTACAAGAAGCTTTCTCTTTCATCAAGATCGCCTCCACCAGTCTCTGATACCATTTGTTGGGAATTCTTGAAAGAGGAAAGAGCTTCTTGTTTGCTTCAAGAACAACCATCCATAAAAGAAGAGAGGAAAACTATAGGGGCGGGAATGGGAAATAAAACTAAGCTTTATTTAAATTTTCCCCACATAAAAATTTGACAAATAAAGTATATATAGACATTAGTACGATGTCTTGAGGATTAACTAATTAAAAATGATTAGCAAGTGGACAACTTGGCATAAATTTAAGAAGGCAAAAGAAAATGACATAAAGACGCAACATAGCTAGTTGGCTTGGAGGCACGAGGATAAAAAAAATTGTTCTTGATTTTTAAAATAGGTTTAATAGATATATTTTATAAACCTTTATTAGTTAATATCTTTAATATTAAAGATTTAATCTATAAGCCCTCTTAAAAAGAAATTATATATATAATACTTAAATTCATATACATGTCAATTTAATCAAATTCATATGGACACCATATATATAAGACTTAAATTCAAAAAATTTTAATTAATAGTCAAAATTCTCAACCAATAAATCAATATGAGTTACAGAAATTATCATACGTTGAGACCCGCTTTCAAACCATAATGTTCAATCTTGTGATAATTAGATAATTTAAATGCTACTAATTTTGGAATGAATTGTAAAATTTTCCAATTGAATTTTGCTAAAAAAAATTTATGCATTTATGATTACCTTTAAGAAAATAAAATAAAAATGAAAATAAAAATCCCAAAAGGAAGTAAATGCCAGCATGAGGCAGCTTTTTCCAACGGTCGTCACCGTTAGGCCCTCTCCGCTACACTAAAGCGTCCACGTTTATTTTCTGTTCACATGAGCTTCACAGCCCTTGAAAAGCTTTACCAATTTCTACCCTAAAGCCCTACGCCCTATAAGGATCCAAGATGTGATTTTTAACACTAGAAAGCGTTCTACTCGAGCTGCTCTGTGGTCACGATCTCACAAGCAGACTCTCTCTCTAAGTTCCTTGCCTTTTTCCAACGGTCGTCACCGTTAGGCCCTCTCCGCTACACTAAAGCGTCCACGTTTATTTTCTGTTCACATGAGCTTCACAGCCCTTGAAAAGCTTTACCAATTTCTACCCTAAAGCCCTACGCCCTATAAGGATCCAAGATGTGATTTTTAACACTAGAAAGCGTTTCTACTCGAGCTGCTCTGTGGTCACGATCTCACAAGCTGCTCTGTGATCACGATCTCACAAGCAGACTCTCTCTCTAAGTTCCTTGCAGTCTGCATCTCCACTAGCACTCTTTTTTTACCCATGAGGATTACATCCACAGCAGCTTCCATTTGGTTACTCATCTTTCTCTTGAACTACACTTGCGAAGTTCTCTCCTTAAATGAAGAGGGATCTGCCCTTCTCTCCTTCAAACAATCCATCAAGGAGGACCCAGAAAGCTCTTTTGCTAACTGGAACTCCTCTGACGAGGACCCTTGCTCCTGGAATGGGATTATATGTAGAGAAGGGAAAGTGATTTCTATTAGCTTTCCTAAGACTGGGCTTGCAGGTACACTTTCATCTTCCATCGGTTCCCTCCATTATCTCAGGCACATTAATCTTAGGAACAACAGGCTTTCTGGGAGCTTGCCTTCTGAGCTTTTTAGAGCTCAGGAGCTCCAAAGTTTTGTTCTTTATGGAAATTTATTATCTGGTTCTCTTCCTCCTGAGATTGGCAACCTTTCTTACCTTCAAATCTTAGACCTTTCCCAAAATCTGCTAAGTGGGTCGATACCGGCTTCACTTCTTCATTGTCAGAGGCTGAAATTCCTTGTTTTAAGTCATAATAACTTCACAGGTGCATTGCCTGATGGTTTTGGGATCAGCTTTCCTGCTCTGGAAAAACTTGATCTTTCATTCAATGTATTAAGTGGTTCAATTCCTAGAGATATCGGTAATCTTTCTAATCTACAAGGCATCCTTGACTTGTCACACAATTTCTTCTCTGGATTGATTCCGGAAAGCCTTGGAAATCTGTCTGAGAGGGTCTACATCGATCTGGCATACAATAATCTGAGTGGCCCAGTACCGAAAACTGGAGCGTTGGTTAATAGAGGTCCTACTGCTTTTATTGGAAACCCTGGATTATGTGGCCCTCCATTGAAGATCCCATGCCTTTCATTTTCACCACCTCCAGCTCTTACGAGAAATTCGAGTGCGAACAATGTCGGCTATAGTAGAAAACTGAAAGGAAGTGCAATAACTGCAATTGTTCTCAGTGATGTGGCAGCTCTTGCTCTTATTGCATTGGTGTTCTATTTTTGTTACCGTCGAGCAATTTCTTCTAAGAAAAAAGACGAAGAAAGGTACTTTGGTAAAGGTTCGAAGAGCTCAAAGGAGCTTCTTTGTTTTAGGAAAAATGAGATTGAAAAATTTTCAGAAAATGCGGAGCAGTTAGATCTCATTCCATTGGATCAACAAGTGTATTTTGATTTGGATGAGCTCCTGAAAGCATCTGCATTTGTTTTGGGGAAGAGCGATCTCGGCATTGTTTACAAAGTTGTGCTCGAAGATGGGCTTACCTTGGCTGTTCGAAGACTTGGTGAAGGAGGCTCTCAGCGGTTTAAAGAGTTCCAAAGGGAGGTGGAAGCTATAGGGAGGATCAGACATCAAAATATTGTTACATTGAGAGCTTATTACTGGTCTTTTGAAGAAAAACTTCTTATTTATGATTATATACCTGGGGGGAATCTGTCTACTGCTATTCATGGTAAGTTCTGACCAGTTGGCCCCTAATGTTTTATATCATTAAGAATTTAACAAATCATTGGAAATGAAAGGTGATAATTTTATCATGTACTTCAATATTTGGATGGTAGTATTATGAATATATACACTTTGTTGTAATTTTGTTAAGGGATTTTTACATACATAACACCTAAAACTATTGAAAATACATATTTAAGACCTAAACTTCTATATTTACTAATATACTACCTAAAATCCCATTTTCCTTCTATTCTACCACTCCATTGAAGCGATGAGATACTTGTATTCATTGTGAAAGGATGCCTTTGACGGGGAAGACAGTCATTGATAGTGATTTTTGACTGAAGGTTTAAACGAATGTTAAAATTGATTAAAAGATGGGTTTTAGGTGTTATGCATGCATGATTCCAATCGTACAAACAAACTTCTTATTTTGTGCTCGGAATTTACCTATTTTCATCTTTGTGATTTCTTTTTTTATGATTGGCGTTTTACTCTAGGAGATTTTTCTCCACTACCATGGGATGCTAGAATCAAAATCATGAATGGAATTGCCAGAGGCTTGGCTTTCCTCCATGACTTCAGCCCAAAGAAGTATGTACATGGAGATATCAAACCAAACAACATACTTCTTGGCTTGGACATGGAACCATACATATCTGATTTTGGAGTCGGTCACCTTGCAAATATAGCTAGTGGATCACCTGCAACACACTTGAACAAGATAATTGCAGAGAAATCACAGAACTCTGATTCCTCAGTAAGCCCAATCATAAACATCACACCATCTTACCAAGCTCCCGAAGCACAGAAAGGCTTGAAACCTTCTCAGAAATGGGATGTTTTCTCTTATGGTGTGATTTTACTTGAGCTTATTTCGGGAAGATCTCCTGTTGTCTTACTGGAAACTCTTCAAATGGATTTAGTTAAGTGGGTTCAGTGCTGCATTGAGGAGAGAAAGCCTCTTTTGGATGTATTGGATCCCTTTTTAGCTCAAGAACCTGAGAAGGAAGATGAGATTATTTCGGTGCTTAAGATAGCATTGGCTTGCGTTCAATACACTTCTGAAAAGAGGCCATCTATGAGAAATATTGCTGAGTCACTGCAAAGGCTAAGCATTCTATCATGAAATATTTAAAGCCTGGAATTTCTGTAACTATATTTATAGAGACCATCTTCTTAATCATGTCCTTTTGCATTTCAAGTTTCTTTCAGTCTGTTAATCCACTTATGGGCTATTCTACTGGAATTCTATTAAAGAGTGATATGTTTAGTAGTTCATAGATATTTTTTGTGGCCTATTTTGTATGATTGTGTTCTAAACATGTCCAAAAAGTTTGAGTTGGAATCATGAATTAGCAATTTTAGAATAAGATTGTATGCATTAGCCATGTACAGATTCTATCATATGATGGAAGACTTCTTTTACTTTCTTCCTAAGAAATAAGCAGATGACTGTTTCATATGCCTGGTATATGAAGCTTCTGAAATTCAAGAAATTACTCTGTGTGGACACCGGATGATCTGGAGACCAATCAGAATGCGCCACGTTATCCGGTACTAAGAGCACCAAAATGATGAGACGCATTATGGTTGATCTTTGGATGCCCTATGGTGTCTGCACCGGAATAATTTTTCCTACAATTGAAGGCCCCAAAAAGAGGTTGATGTAAGTGGTCTTATTCTAGAATTGTTTGGAGGCTCTCCCATGATTAGTGTACGTAAGTTTATAATTGCTCTCTCTGATGTTTTGTTGAATGTGAAGAAGGCACAGTATAAAAGAAAATGTGGTTAGTTTATTTTTTGGGTGTTTAATTTGATGTAATTTAATTGTAACACTTCATGATTAAATTATATAGTCAAGAATTGCATCTGCTTTATATTTATTTATTTTGCGAAGATTTAGGCCTCCGGGCCTAAATCAGTCCATGATTCTCAAAAAGAAGAATATACTTGTACTTCCAACTTTTCTTTTTTGCTTGCAACTATATAAAGCCTTTATCCCATTACATGCAGTTGACTATATGAGTTTTTTTTCTCCGTTGCATCTAGAGTCAATTTATCATTTAAATCTAATAAAAAATATCATTTAAAATACTTTCTAACCAAGTCTTTTTAGGCCTACCTCTACATTTCTTAACATTGGCCCAAATTTAATACATCAACTCTTCTAATAGGATCATCGAAAGATCGACGTTTCATATGATCAAATCATATAAGGTAGCTTATCTCTAATCTTATATACCACTAAAGGTACTCCAATTTCTTCACGTTTATACTTGTTTTGCATTCTATATCTAAGAGTAAAGTCACTCATCCACCTTAACATCCTCATCTATGCAACAGTTAACATAATATCAAATTCAAATAATAGATGGAAGAAGCTTCAAGCGAACAAACAACTCTAATAAATTTTTGTTGTTAAAATTTCTTGCATTGCCAGAATCAATTAAGCCTTCAACAACCTTAATAGCCTTTGTCAGCCTCCTATATAAAAGTCCATAATTTGTGGTTCCCTTTAACAATCTCAAGGAGTACTACATAGGCATTACATGCACTATATCCTTCCTCGCATTGTTACTTGCACTATATCCTTCCTCACATTGGTTCATCCATTCATGCCCAGATTATCTGGGTGGAGGTTCGATGATGGTGATCATATGACGGTGGTCAAATGGCGCTAGTGTGACAGCAGTGGTTGGGCTGCCATGATCTGCAACTACGGTGGTATTTCGTTGGTAGTGGTCCACGTCAGGTGGTGATCCAATACAACTCCAGAATCCTTTAAGCAGTACTATATATGTATTCACTACACTATATCCTTTCTCACATTGGTTTATGCCCACATTATTTAGGCGCCTAGTATGTCTCGTGCGAAAAGAACGACTATTTAGAATAAATGTACATCTTTTTCCCGATGGTAGTACCAGCAAACGCACTTTATAGGAGGGGGCGCTCTGGTAGGGTTTATACTCTTTAGCCGCTGTTTTGCTCCCGCCGCCTCGCGCCGCCTCCCGCCTGGGAGGGTTTTTCCCTCCCCACCATAGCTTCCTCCACACTTGATTTCCCTCCTCTTCCTGGCTCCTCTGTGCTAGGAACACCCGTTGGTCTCTCGTACGCTGCAAATGTCTCGGCCCCTGTCACCATGACGGCTCCCTTCCCGGTCTCTTTTCACTCCCCAGGCCAGAAACTTTCCTTCAACTTTGGTGATCTTGTTGAAGGCAAAGCGATTTGGACTACTGCTTTGATCGGTTATTCACTTGGTCCCCGACCATATTACGAAAGGTTACTCAAAGCCATGCAAAAGCTTTGGCCTCTTAAGGGCTCCATGACTCTTCTGTCCTTGGCGGACGGCTTTTTCCTTCTGAAGTTCACCTCCCCTGATGACCTTGAATCTGTTTTATCCGGCGGTCCGTGGTTCATCTTGGGTAAACCCTTCATCCTGCAAAGATGGTCGCCGAAGTTCAAGCCTAAGCGTGATGAAGCTACGCCCATCCCTATTTGGATTAAAATAGTGGATTTTCCTTTAGCTCTTTAGACCCCGATTGGTGTTTCCAGAATCGCCAGCTTCATTGGTATTCCTATCTCTGTCGATTCTCTCACTGCTAGCAGATCTAGACTTACATTTGCAAGGGTATGTGTTCTTATTTCTAAAGATTATGCTCTTCCTGATGAAATACCTTTAGAGATAGATGGAGAAGATATGACTTTGAAAGTTCTATATGATTGGAAGCCGGATAAATGTGAAGGGTGTGGTTCTTTAATTCATCCTTTTTCTTTGTGTCCCAAAAACCCAAATCCGCAAGGTTGTGAAAATCGGACCGAACAAAGAACCGGAAGAAGGAGAGGTTCAAGGTTCGACCGGTCGAACCAGGGTCGAACCGGATGATGTAATAAATACTAATATTATTAAAAATTTATAACATAAGAGATAGTTGGCTTTTGGCTCTATATATAGTTCCCTCTTTTCAAACAAAACTTGTTTCATGAGATGACAACCATATATTATGGTGTAAAAAATCTCATTATTTAATAAAAAAAAAATATTTTTAAAAAATATAATGAAGTAAAATATATATTATTTATATTTTTTTATCATTAATTTTTTTTTGAAACCGGCCGGTTCTTTCAAACCCGGACCGGTTTGCCGGTTCATCGGTTGAACTGCCGGTTCTCTGCGAAGCCGGTTTTTGAATTGGACCGGATCGAACAACTAGCCGGTTCACGGCTGAACCGGTTGAACGGGCCGGTCCGGTCCAGTTTTTAAAACCTGGCAAATCCGCAACCTGTGCTCCCTCCTAAGGCACCGAAAGTCAGAGGTCGTAGTTCTTCTCGAGCTCGTTCCTCCCATCCTCACCGTTTTAAATCCAAAGCGGGTACTCCTAATCCTACACTTACTGATTCTCAGCAAAATCCCCCTCTTCTTACTTCAAATCCTCACTGAAATTCTACCTCTCCGGATAAAATGGTTCCGAACAAGTTAACGCCAGTTTTATCTCCTTCAAAAATCCTCCAATCCCGAACCTCAATATCCCCACTGAAGAAATTTCCTCATTTGAAATCCTGATAATTCCTAAAACCACACAAAGTCACATTATTCCTTTACTCAACAAGTTTGCCACTGCAATCGGATGATTGCAGCACCTCTAACACCTTTGACTCCAGCTCGGAGAATGACAATGTTAACTCAAAACCTGTGGAAGATCCGCCTGATTTGAGAAATCAGGTATCCAATCAGCCACAAACTAGATCTTCTGTTCAAACTGGAAAAAGCCCCAATAAGTCAAAGCCTCCTAAGGGAAAATCGGCCAAGAATGCCAAAGGATCATCGTCTTAATGTCCTTGCCTTCTTTTGCTAGCTGGAATGTTCGTGGGTTTAATAGCCCTGACAAAGTTCGTCTCTGTAAATCCTTGATTACCTCGCATGATCTTAAACTTTTCTGCATTTTAGAAGCAAAAATTTCAATCTCTTATGTGCAAGACCCATGGTTTATTAATTCTCATGTCCTCTTTGAGAATGAAGTTAGCTGTAATAACTTCATGGAATCCAGCCCTGGAAGGATTTGGCTGAAATGGGACTCGACGGCTGTCTCATTTTCTCAAATTTCATCTTCGTCACAACTGATTCATGGGATTCTCTCTATGGGGTCTTTTCCTCCCATCTATCTTTCAGTTGTCTATGCCTCTAATAATATTGAAGAACGGAAATGCTTATGGAATCAATTATCTGATGCTATTCCTCCTCGGGATCAGCCTTGGGTAATTCTTGGAGACTTCAATTATTGCAGATTTGATAATGAGAAGGCTGGGGGTACTTCTCTTTCTGCTAGTCGCTTGGGGGAGCTTAATAACTTGGTTTTTAATTGTGGAGTTCATGATCTATCTTCCATTGGACTTTTCTACACTTGGTATAATCAAAGGGTGGATAATCCTATCCACATCAAGCTTGATAGAGTTTTGGTCAATTCAGCGTTACTGGATTATTTACGTTCTGCTTACTATAAAGTTGAACCTCCCGTGGGATCTGACCACTCACCTTTAATTTTTAAATCATCCACTGATAAGCCTATATCTGCTAGGTTTATGTTTAAGAATTATTGGATTAATATGGAAGGTTTTTGGGATGAGGTGTTCAAGGCTTTCTCTTCTAGTTCTCTTAGAAGTCTCTTGGCATCTTTTTATCACAGTTTACACAGTCTTAAAGGGGCTCTTAGAAACCAGAATTGGGCTTCTTCCTCCTTCCTCTCCACTGTTATTCAAGATCTTAAGAACAAACAACACTTGTACCTTCTTGAGATTCAATCCAACCCTCTAAATTTGGATCTTAACAACTCTTTAAAGGTTGTTAATGATGAGTTTGCTGATGCTCAAAGAAACTGGTCGTCTTGGATATCTCAAAGATTTAAGGCTCGTTGGCTCACTCATGGTGAAGAGGACATTGGCTTTCTGTATGCCAAAATCAGAAGTAGGCATAATAGAAATTACATCAATGAAATTTCTACGAATGATGGGATCTTCACCTCATTTAATGATATCTCTAAAGCTCTTGTTAATCATTTTAAGGAATTATACAACAACCCGACCCCTCATTTTGATTTACCTTTAGATATTCCAACGGGACATGTTGTACCAACTCATTTGCATAGCATGTTGGTGGCCCCTTTAACCTTTGAGGACGTTAAAACTGCTGTTTTTGATGGGAAAGTGACTTCTTCTCCAGGCCCGGTGGCTATTCTTATGCTTTTTATAGGAATACTTGGCATATTCTTGGTCCTCAACTTTTCAATGCTATTAATCACTTTTTCACTACTGGTTCTCTACCTAAAGGTGTTAAGGCATGTGCTATCA